AAAATTTTAGTGTTTTAATTTCGGGCAGTTTTTAGTAATTTTCTGTCGTGTAGTTCAAGTTTGTTGTAATTCAAGTTTTATTTTTCATTATAACGCGAATAAACGAGGGCCGGAGAATCTCATTTAATACATATTACAAAATCCGAGTTAATAAAAACAAACAAAATATTGCCATGAGCGTTTGACAGCTTGAGCCAAAAGTAAAAGACTAGTAGATTCCTTAAATGACTAGTGTTCTGGATACGAAAAAAGTAGGTATTTCGCAAAACGTGTAGTGGCTTTGTTTTCAATCGAAAGCAAAACTTCGGTCGCTAGTAATACGCGCGTCTGACAACTCGCCAGTCACAGCTCCGGATTCTTATCTCAAAATCTAGCCCTTCATCTCGCTTTATAGCGGCAATCCATTTCGATGTCAATAAAGAATTTGAAGGAAAGTTGAAAAAAGATAAATTCTCGCTCCTCTGATTTCTCTTGTCATTTGTACAGAAGTTAACAGAGCAATGATCCTGAGCCATGCTCACTTGTCATATATCCCCACTGTAAACACTAGTGTAACACAAACTTTATGCCCGTCCAGCCTCGATTTGGTGCTTCACGCAATCCAAGATGGCGCTAAGTGATAAAGGTGTATGGAGGATGTTAAAGCTTTAAGAAGAATAGCCTTTGACTCCTGTTTGAACATTTCAGAGGACATGTTGATAGAAAACATGTCATCAACACAGTACGCAGAAAACGACATGAAATGCCTCGATCGTCGCTACGAACTCCTGCAAACGTTCCGAGGAACTCTTTATCATCCAACAAAGGAGCAACTTGAGAATACCCGAGCAACTTCAGAATACCCGTCCACATCATTTACATATGTGCATTTCCATATGTTTTTCCACACGTAGGTATACTTTTCGCCGTAGTGGGGAAAAGTACGCGTCGATTTCTCGAAGTTTCAACTGGCACGTGCTGAAGAAAGAGCGACGCGAGCATGCGCATTACCGTAAGTTGAAGAATTTCTGTTTTGATGACGTCACGAAAAACAAGGGTTTTAGAGTGATATAAAGGCGCATATTGGGCACGTTCCAGACGGTGAATTTTTTTGAAAATTGGCACATGGATGGGATTTTTCTTTTTCTAGCTCTTGCGAATAAATCATCGAATTTTATACATAGATAAATGTAATACGCGTCAAAAACGAAAATTGCGAATTACTCCGAAAATTATGTACAGATTTTCTTGTGGCTTTATCAGTTGAAACTCCTTGGATGTTTACTCTGTTTCCCCAAAAACAAAGAAAATTCACCGCGTAGAAACCGAGAAACACCGTCTAGAAGTCAGGTAGGTCAAAAAAGCAAGCCAAGCATTTCTCTCAGTAGTTGCCATAGCAACAGCTTTGAGTATCTGAAAGGGTTTTCCATATATAGTCTAAGGCTGTAGGTTTTCATTACTGATCTTCTATCGAGTGCTGTGAGATAAACATTTGCCAAGGGAGACTGAATTATTCATGCATATGTAATACCCAAAGCCTTGTAAAATACTATATAGTGCCACCTTACGTAAGTCAACTAAGCGCCATCTCTCTCAGCTTTGTTCCTTTACTTAGAAGACAAATCTTGACCTTATGTCTTTACAATTACGAAAATCGTGCGATCATTTGCACTCGCCGGAAAACGTTGTAGAATTACTAGTGAGTGTTGGCTCCTATTCAGTAAATGCCTCACTCGCAGTTCTCGTCTTATGGCTAAACTGAACCGCAAACCAGTTCCCTTAACAAAATATTTTGTGGAAAAAAATATTATATATTACATTCCGCGACTTTCCTTATCATGTCTTTCAATTTTATTCCTTTCAGTTCCGCTCGAGAATATAATGGCTCTTCTTTACGGACATGTTCCAGGGAGTAGACCACGCTTAAACCTGTTCCCTTGTCCAATTGGAACTTAGATCTTCTCTTAGAGCAAATGACCATCATAAGAGTAGAGCGTCGGTCTTTGCAACTAAACCAAACTGTGGAAGTTACAGACGAAAGGTAATCGTTAATCTATCCCGTAGTCCACAACAACAACAAGTATATTATGTGACAGTTCTGATATGTCAAAATTTAGGCCCTAAGAACTTGCATTGATATTTGTAAAGAATAAAATTGAGGGTTGAAATTGGTTCTATTCCGAAGTTCTGTCTCTTCAGCATTTGAAAGATGATAGTGATTGGCGACTCAAGTCACATCAGTCAGCCAAGCAAATCGGAACCCTGTTACAAATTCAATACTATGAATTCACAATGCAAATTTTAAACATAAAACTTTTACCCATTTTGAGTTGAAATTACCTTGCAGAGAGTGATTCTGTCACTGCTTCGAGCTAAGTGTACGTTTTAGCGCCTGCATGTCGATAGCTGTAAAAAAAACAATGACGGTGAGAAAATTTAAATTTCATTCTGGAAGTAATTTTCTAGAAAAATCTACGCCTGCTTAGATTCCAAGAATCGCGAAACATTTTTCAGCCGGCATACAGGGCATAGTTTAAACTGTTTATTACGAGCGACAGAATCCAGCTGTCTTTTATCTTACAAGGGATTAGCAAATGTGGAAACTTGGAATCAAAACTGTTCCACAGCTGTATGGAATTATGGTATAGATGTCTTTATACAAATACACTAGCAAGAGGAAGTTTTGTCCAAAGTCACACCATACCATACTGAAGCGGCTGCTAAGGTAATGATCCTCCGTGTCATTGTAAAGAATCCCCGTAAGCTGCCTTAAGGGAAGAAAAAAAAAAAAAGCCAACAAAATCTCATGCGATCAGTCGAACGTCCATATTACAGTGGACAAGATCTGTCGCAGGAGTAACGTCAATACAGTTCATATCATTGCTAAGCTTTTCCATGTGAAACGATCGAATTTCTCATTCCTTTTGGCTTTGTTAAGTTTGAATGCGGTTGGGAGGAGGATTCTAATTTAAGACGGAAGCAATGTATCCTATTTTTCTTCCCAGTTCTGGGCAGCGAAATAAACTCACTGAAGAAAAAGCTCAGAAAACAGATGACTCGGAATTATGTAAATTTTTCATCTGTGTTTCTGAGAAAAAGGCAAAAACTTAGATACTCAGTGTTTGCTTTGACATATTTCTTTTCTTTAAAATCACCAAAGTTTTAAATGCTCATGAAAACGAAGTAGCAGGTATGTATCACCGAAAAAATATTCTAGAGATAAACAAATAATCAGGCAAACGTTGCTTGTTTTTAAGCTACAAAAAGATTCTTTGTCGCCATTGTCGTCCGGTCTTTCTTAGAATTCACAGAAATGCAGACTGCCAAGGGTTTTTTTTTGTTTCTTAATCGATGAAATGTAAGAAATTTTCAACTGATATCTAAAAAAAATTGCGAGTGGTGAATAAAATAGTTAACAAGTGAAATTTTGCATATGTCCAAACTGTGAACAATTACCCTTACTGATGCATCCTGGGAGTCAGGTGACTAAGACGGTCACATGAGGAAAAGGTTTCGCAAACGATTAACAAAACATATTTTGGTTTTTGCTTCAAAGGCCGAAATTTCTTATCAAGCTTTTCATAGCTAAGTCAGCTTTCATTCGCCTGCTGCTACGACATTTCGATCAAGAATTCTGGTAAGTCATTTGCAACAGAATATTTGGTCATTTGAGGCCGAGTTGTCCTGTCGTTGGCTTTCAACACACGACATCAATCAGCAGTTAACACACCTAAGCACTGTTCACTGTTCGACTTTAATGTAACATTGACTCAATCTTAGTAAATTACTTGTTCAGTTTCAACTGTAAAGAATCATCTATTATTTTCTTTTGATGCCGCAATTGCTTAGTGCGATGAAATTTCTCCTGGTTTTGATAGCTTGAACGTAATCTGTTTCGTAAAAACGAAATTTTTGCGGCTCGGTTAGTAAATATTCGCCTCTTCTAGAATGAGATATAGCACAGCAGTCAGTGTCCGCCTTTTCTGTTCCAATTTTCCTTTTAATCAATCTCGCCTTCGGTTTTTTTCTACCCAAATGAGCGAATTCTTAAAGATGACTATAGTCTGGAAAGATTAGTGGTTACTTTGCCAAGCTTGGCTATTCCTCGGCCAAACCATGCAGGTCGACAGCTTTTCCCATGGTTCCTTCGAGTTGAAACTTGTCATGGACATTCAGTTGCTGAGGATTGTTCTATTTTCAAATCTCTTGCTCTCTTCAATGATACATCTACAAACCCCGGACCTGGCGACACAAGCATAAATTTCTTGTTCTCAGACTCGACCTTCTCGTCTACATTAGAAGAGTATTTCTCCTCAGCATCAAGCGTTTTTAACATGGACAACAAAAGCTGCTCTGCGACATATTTTAACTTTGGTCTGGGCGAAAATGGTTCACGAATCGAAAGCTCTACCTGCTAAGAAACTCCAGCTCTGGCAAACCACAATTGGACGTTTTATTCTTAAGTGAAACATGTTTCAGAGCAGGTGTGCCAGACTCAATATACGCAGTGCAAGGTTTTTTTATTTACCGACAGGCTGTCTGGAAGCTGGTGGCCATATAATGGCGTTTTCAATCCAAGACTAGATAGCGAAACATACACGTAGGACAGATTTGGAAAGCCAAAAAATCGAAGCTATTTATTTACGTAATCGCATGATCTCGAATGCAGTATGGGATAAACCAGCAAGAGGCCATTTTTTAAAGGCTAACCAAATACGCGACTTTAAAGTAGAACAACTTTGGCCCTTAAGTAAGAATGATTCGCTTAAAGAGGACCCGTCGCGATAGAGGAAGATTCTCCATTGAGTTAGATCACACGATCTATAAGAGACTTAGTTTATTTCTGTCTTTCCCTATATCTTCCTACCTTGAGACCAAAAAGGTACTATAAATATCTATTTTTTTTAATCAAAAGCTTTGCTTCAACTGGTAGGACATACTTGATTGGTGGACAGCGACACAATGGCGACCCCTCGTCAAGAAACTGGCGGTCCACAA